AAAAGAGGAAAAGTAATTCAAAAGCAAATTAATAAGTAAAACAAACTTAAAATACAAAGAATACTTAATAGCAAGTATTAGAGGAACTTTCTTCAAAGAGCTAGTCTTCAATATTCAAATTGCTATTCCTAATAGACTGGATAGAAAAATCTATTTTATCAAAATATGTACTAACATAATCAATTTTCTATATACAGTAAAATTTGAACAGAGAGATATGAAATATTTCAGAAATGGAAAGTCAATGTTAGTATTACAAAAAAAAAGGAAAAAAAACAAACAAAATATAAAATAAAAAAAAAAAATTCAACTTTTATTTAAAGAGAAAGATATATATGCTAAATATTTTGGGAATTCATCATTACTTACAAGGAGTAGCAACAAGCTGTAAGGTGAATACCCCGGGAAGGAAATACCTCTATTGAGTTTTGTTTGATAGAAAACAGGTAGTATATTCTAGGATAGCCACTCTATATAATAATGTTACAAAAATACAAATAAAACAAGACTAAGCCGGTATTTAAAAAAAAAAAAAATCATCCAAAAATAGTTAAAGGTAAAAAGAATAAAAATTATAGCATGACTAATTAATTCTTTAGATTCAAAAACTATTTAAAAATCAAATTCAAAAATGCAAAAATTTTCTTAAAATAATTGATGAGTTAAAAACTACATTAAAAAAAGAATGAAAAAACTTTAATATCTCCATCCTTGAAGTTGTTATCTCTATATCTAAAAAAATAAATGTAATATTAGAGGCAAAAGAAGGGTAACAAAATATTAGTGCCATGTATATGATAAATAATGTGTAAAAAAAAACTTGATTTTTTTAAAAAATAGGTAATACTTTATACAGCAACTGTTATAAGATTGGCATTTGATTTAGTTTCATAGAAAAAAATTTTATTTAAAAAATATAAAGTATATTCAAATAGAAGGTACCATTTACTGTATATGAACTTAGTCATACTTAAAAAAACGTATCATGTCAAGTCAAGAAGATAGTGGCCTGATCTCGTTTGAACCCCCTTTGTGGATGCAAAGGCGATCTCTCATAAATGAAGTATTGCGGGAGAGCAAAGCGACTTCGGTACTTGTTTAACTTTCGTAACAGCTTTTTCTCGGTGGGATGACTAAAGATTTGATTCATTAATAGGTTTTTGATTATGGATGTGGGGAAGGCTCTCTCCTCTCTTTCTTTATTCAGCCTTATGACGAAAATCCAATTACGCGCCTTGCTGGCGTGGATATTAGTCATGAAGTATTGGAAGTAACGAGGAAAATTTGTCAACCGCGTGATCATGAACGGGAATACTTGAGAATAAGTCCATTAACTGTAGATTTATATTGTGGTAATAAAAAGTTTGACGCGTTTAAACTATATAATAATGTTTTTTGTGGTAAAAAAAAAAAAAAATTCAATTCGATCTCAGGAAGCATCGATGTGGCTGACGAAAGGTTACTCGGGTTTGAAGCTATCGTGTGCATGGAAGTGTAGGATTATTCATTCTCCGTCTAGAATGCGAATATGAGCGCTCATGTTTGTTTCGTTATTGAAGTTTTTTTCCTTAATAAGGATAGAGCACGTTTATCCACCCGTGCTGGACAAATTTTTTGATGCTGTTTTGGGAGCCTATAAACCCAAAATTCTAATCGTCACTACACCCAACGTCGAATTTAATGTCTACTTTCCTCAGTTAAAATACGGAACTCCCGAGGCGACATTCAGAATCGATGATCACAAGTTTGAATGGAGCAGACGAGAGTTTCAAGAATGGTAATGGATGATTGACATTTCATCGCGATCCGTTAAATCAACAATAAGGGATACTGATTTTTACCAATTCAAAAGGGGAAACATGGGATCATTAAAGTATAATTATTCTGTTGAATACACAGGGGTCGGAAGGCTAAAGGATAGTGATCCAGCGGTAGGATTCGCCACGCAAATTGCCATATTCCGGGATTTACAACCAGAGACTAAACCCTCTGTAACCAACTTCGGAAGTTATGAACATCTCGAGAGAATCGTGTTTCCGTTTTATGATGAACCGGAAAAAAGTGTTCCGGAGATTCTCGACGTGATTCATTATTACATGCAATATATTTGCAATCCGGTCGTGCAACTTAGCGGGATTAAGCCAAATCACGTTAAAACTGATGATCTCTGGGGTATTCATAAAATTAGACAACTCTGCAAAAGTAGGGACAGATTGAGAGAAGTAATTGGCACGAGCGCAGAATTTACATTACTTAACGAGGATGAGATAATTGCGCATAGAGAGTATAAACTTGACACACCAGATGAAGATGAATACGAGTCATGCGCGAATGGGACACTTGGTGATGATTCAGGTTGGCCAACTAACGAATTTGACGACGATTCAGGTTACCCAACTAACAAATTTGACGATGATTCGGGTTGGCCAACCGAAGAACTTGGTGATAATCCAGGTTGGACGACTAAAGAATTTGACGATAATTCGGGTTGGGCAACTAAGAAGTTTGATAATGACTCGGGTTGGCCAACCAATAAATTTGATGGCAATGAAATTTACCACGATGGTTGGTGCAACGAGGGGTAAATTGTAAAGGATTGGAGGTCCTCTGAAAGCTGAAATGTTGTAGCTTGTAGTAATTGGATTAACCCAATATGATTAATATTAATATACAATAGAACACATCTGATATCATATTAAATTATTAGTGCCAATTCAACATTTCTGTCTTTATTATTACTCGATTGATTCTAGATCGCGTAAAAATCGCAAAGGAAAAATCCTAAAAGACAAGAGCAGCACCCTTGGTCTAAAGTGAATAAAAGTTGAAAAATATTAATAAAAAGAATCTTAGATAGAAATTTTGATTGACATTTTTTTTTTACCTTTTTATCACCACCGAGCTCAAAATGTTTACATCGTTTAAGTGCAATTTGATGTTTATACTATCAAACGAGAAAGAAAAAAATTTGGCATTAGCGACTCAAGTATTAAACTTGTAAGATAAAAAAATCAAAATGTACCTTGCAACTTTGACATTCTAATCGAAGAACGATTTTTTTGGTAGTCTTGGCTGTTAGGATAGATGTGTTAAAAATACGAATCGATTGAAAATGTTTGGTAATGAAGACTTCAATTCGGCCATATACCTTTCTTGTGGAACACCGGTTTAGTCTGACCACCGTAACCCGATTGTTTACGATCGTAACGTCTTTTACCTAATCGAAGATATGAAAGGAATAGAAAACGTTTACTCAAAGCCTTACCGAACAACCAAAATCCAAACCACCTCTCATATGAGCCAATATAATTTTTACCTTGAACATATAAAGAATCTTTGCCCTTTTTGTATTGAGATACTTTATGGGGAGTGTGTTTTTTGCAATTCTTACCCTTGCAAAAGGTGTTTCTGGTCTTTGGAACGTTGACCTATGCAAAAACGTAAATTCCGATTAATTTCAAGTAATGAAATTTTAATCATGAATCAAGTTCATCCAAATAATCACCAACCATTCTGAATAACGACAAACCAGAAGGAAGAAGGAATCCTCGATTGCGATTACTGCAATTAATTAAAAAAAAAAAAAAAATTTTTTTTTTGAAAAATCACGTGAATGTGCGATTTAAGATAAAATTCGTGGGATCACCAGAGTTTGCAAACTTGAAAATGACTACTTTCAACGTTCAGAACCCACAAAATAATTCGCCCTCCACTGTTTCCCTAGAACCTAGAGTAGCAGACGATATTTGCAAGAAAGTTGGCGCATTTTTGGCACGAGAAGCAGGCTTCACGAGCGTGACCCCGGCTGCATACGAGACCCTAGGAAATTTAGCAGGATTATGTACGCAAACTTTATGTGAAACCGGTGCTTCGAAGATGCTACGTCCATTAAATACATTTGATGAACCATTTTTGTCTTCCAGTTCTTATTGATTTAGTTAAAGCATCACAAGCCTACGCAGAACTTTCACGTCGACCACAACCCAATCTTAATGACATAGAAAAGAGTTTGAGAGATCGGAACCTCCGAACTGGCGCGTTGGAAGGTTTTATGGAGAAAATTCGAGGTATCAAGGGCTGTTAGATCAATGCGTGACCAATGGTATAGTTTGCAAGAACTTATTTACCATTCGTGTGAAATGTGCAGGGAAGGAAAATTATCGCAATATTGCGTCGAAATTATCGTCATCTTTAAGGCCAACGTCGTCTTTAGTAAGATTTGAACCACCGATGTTCGCTCCGGAAGACATAGTGGAAAGCGAAGGGGAGAACGACGAACCGAAAAGTAAACGTCAAAAAAGGTCTTCCTTAAGCTATCCTGCTCGTCCAAGCTACGTCCCTTCGTATTTGCCACCATTCCCGAGCAAGCATTCTTACAAAAGGACACCGGTAAATTATAAATTGTTGCCATTTGTGGTATTAGCCCTTCTCTGTCGAACACGTTGGCACACTTAGTAACGACATCCTGATTACACAAGGTGTACCTGAAACGTCAAGATAGTGACCCAATACAACTACGCGAACTAAGTTTGGTTCAGGTGAAATTAGTAGAAAAAAGTCTACAAAAACTAACCCGTCATAATGATGAACAAACTTTGATTCATTCAAACATTCCGGATTCCCCCTCAACTTCCTCGACCGTCGTGTCTGCTAACTCTTCACCTACAGCCAATGATTCGTCTGTGCCCACGTCGATTTTAAATTTTAATTCTACAATTTTGCATACAGGTGCCGATCAGAGACTTAAGCGTGACGTGAAGGATAATAGCGTGATAACTTTAAAAGACATGACTTTGAATGAAGATAAAAAGAAGCCTAAGAAGATTCAGGTGTCTTGGAGCGAATTGTGTATAGGCAAATAAGACTCGTATATACAAAACTAAAGGTATTTTTGAAACTCACAAATTCATGCATTTACATAAGATTAGGAAAACATTCCAATGAACCAACTTTTTGTGGATAAAAATAATAATAAATCAATTTATGCCACTAAGTTAGATTCGTGTATACGGTTGATACGGTTATTGATTGCATAATTGGAATATCATTTTTTAATTCTTGAGCAAAAAATTATCTAAAACCCAATCTTATAAGTAAATATGTAACGTTCTTAATTGAAAAACATGCACTTGCAAATTAATTTAAACGCGTTTATCAGTATTTTTTACCGTATATACTGTATATTTGCTTATATTATTTAAAATTTTTATATTTTATTTTTAAGCATTTCAAATCTTTTTTATTTTTATATTTTATTATATGATTTTAATATAATTGCTAATTAATTTGATAATTTAAAATCAAAACTTTTAAAATATTGTATTTATTCGTGGTATATTTAAATTACTATTTTATTATTTTATTTTATTTTTAAATTAAAAAAAAAATTAAAAATCGATTTAAAATTATTATTTCATTTTTTACTATTTTAAAAAAGTTATTTATTTATTATTATTATTATTATTTTGTAATAATTCATTAAGCCAGGCTAATAGTATATATTTATTGCTTAGTTTTTTTTTTTTTTTTTTTGTATACCCGTAGCCAGGCTAGATTGTGAGTTTATTAATCAATTGAAAACATAAGTACATTTTCAT